GCACAACTTGTAGATAATAATACATTTAATTGTAATCTAGGATTAAAAAGGAAAAATAATAATAAACAAATTGATTCAGACGGAAGTGATTCAATACTTCATCGCAATTACTATGTATCGTCTGTGGATTTATAAAAAGCTCCAAAACCTTCTGGTATTTCTATTATTTAGTTTTTTTTAAAAAAAACTAAAAGGCCGTTATTTCTACGTACGGTAAAGTGTTGGTGAGCACCATAACTGATAGAATTTAACCTGTAGAATAACACCACGGTGTAATTATCGCTAACCGATACTATACAACACATTGTAAAAACGGTCCTGGGAATTATAAATTATAATTAATAATATTAAGTAATTCTCTGATGAATCATGACTCAGTCAAAAGGCTTTTATACGATTAAAACAATAAAATAAAAATAATAATAAAAACATAATGTTATAAAACTTGTTTAATTTGTCTAAATTTATTAATGTTAATGTTTATTTATTTTAAAGCTATTAATAATTACTACAACTGAATTTGCTTTTTAGGCTTATTTGATATATGCAGCAGTAAAGAAACTCACCTGATATAGTGGAGCAATCAGAAATAAATTTTGATGAAGACAATTCTGAACAAAATACTGGTAAACTTAATTATAATAATATTCTTATGCTATAAAGTAGTGTCCCAAAATGTAAAACAGAATTTAACAAATATAAATCCAACATCTATATCAAGCTATAATAATATGATGGATAAAATGCAATGTATCAGTCACTTATTAATGAAAGGTAATAAAAATGATTAAATTAATAGAATCAATAAATCTCCTGGACCTTATTTATTTTTGTATAAGAATGTAACTTGTATGCAATGAAAATGAATTCAAATGTTTTCACTTTATTTGAATTATACAGTACCTATATTATATATATTATATACCTTCAATTTTAGTGTAAATTTAATATAGTATAATAATAATCATATTATATTATTATAATTTTTTTGATAATTTTATAGTTATAAATATAATATTTTTTTAAATAGCATGATATATACATATTTCAGTCTAGGCACTTTTTCAATTTAGCAAATTTTGATGAGAATAAATATTTTAAATTTTATAAATTTGTCATTTTTATTATTAAATATATTAAAAAAATATTAAAAATATGCTTTGAGTGATGCAAAGTAAACTTGTATAACAATTCAAATATCACATTTTTAAATAAAACAACTAGAAACACCCTTTTTGTCAGGCATATAGCTATTTTTCCTATGTTCCATATATGTTAGACAAAGACAGAAAATCACCGCTTCCAATCCCCTTAAATACATTTCCACTCTGTTTAAAATTCAAAAAAATTGTAAATTGTTGTATTTACAGTGTTTAATCAAATGGTTTCCCGTCAAAAAGATATAAATCTTATAAAAATTGATGTGATGAAAAATCAAAATTTAATAGCAGAAGTAAATGACAGACAAAATCATCAAACAACTCGAAATCAAACTGTTGAAAATATAACTAGGTCAAATTTAAAAATACCGTTAGAGACTATGGAACAACTTGACAGTCTTGAAGCAGATGAAGAACTAAAACAAATCTTTGTATGTTTTTTTTTATTATTATTATTTTACTATAATATAAAGTATATCTTTCTTTCTCCTATAAATAGGCTAATGTTATTCGCAGAAATGGAAAGTCATTTGACTCAAAAAGAACAACATATCAAATTATGAAGATTGTTTTTGAAAATCGCTTGGCCGAGGGATTGGATATGAAAGGAAGAGGAGAGAAGCGAGCATTATTAAAAATGGAAATTTGTACAATAATAATAGGTATGATACTAAAGTAAAAAAATTATGTTAAAACTATACAGTAGAAAATCAATAATTTTAATTTCATCAAAAACTGAGCATACTTCTATCGGGTTATGCTTAGTTTTCATAGTTAGATAGAGTATAACATTGCCTCACAATTACCACTTAATCTTTACTTTATCTTTTCAACGAAAAGCCTAGGTATATATTTTTTTTCAAGTTACTAAAAGTACTTTTGGAAAATAAGAAGATATCGGATTGACTTTTTAAATTCATTCAGTTATTTAGGCATACAGGTTTTGTTTTTCGTTTTCACACAACTAAATAACTGCTTTTGATTTAATTTGTAATTAATAAGAACAAATTACTTATTATAAAATCCAGACATCTATTAATTTTAGCAACAACTATACATTAACTAACTATATATTATTTATATTTATCATAGATGCTGTGAAGTTCATGTTTCCTGAAGAATCACTGAAACTGATAAAAATGTATATGAGTGATTGGCTAAAGCAGGCTCCTAAGAGGAAATCCTAATAAAATGATTATTGATTTATATTAATATATCAAAACATGATTTTTGTGATTATATAAATACTAATAAATTATATATAACTAAAATTAATAAACTACTATACCTAATTCTCATATATAAATAAAAAGTGCATATTCTACATTTTCTACAGTCACCTTTCTGGATCCTTATAAACGTTAGTTAAATTTTGAATCCTTGTAAATTGTAATATTAAAAATGTACATAATATAAAGGTATTACCTACACCAAATATATACTACCTAAATATAAACATTATTTTTACATGTTTGTCCACAAAGTTAATACTAAAATACACGTATATTATGTACGTATCATATCCCAAATTCATACTTCTATAATTATTTACGTATTTTAAACGTAATTTATATGTTGCTAATTACACCAAATACACTTGTATATACACTTATTATAAACATGATTTTTGCCACTAATATGTACGTATTTAAAACGTTGAATATACGTTACAATTTACATTTATTACACACATAATATACGTTGAAAATCTATCTTTTGACCCAAAAATATCCATGATTTCTACTTATCATCAACTAAATATATTCGTTTATTATACGTAACTTAGATTATGTATATTCGTATGTTATAGGTTAAATATATGTATATTTGTTTACTGAGCAAGTTTTAATGTCAATTTTGTTCTGCTTGCCGAATGCTACAACATGTTATAATTAGTTATACAAATTATATGTGATTACTAAAACAATCAACACCTAATCAAATCTATAAAAATGTATTTAACTTTTTAAAGATCATAATATTGTTGAAATAATCTATACGATTTAAAAAAGGCGGTATTTTATGTGACAAAATATTTCTTAAATCACAGATGTCGCACCTTACCGAATATGTACAAGTTTGTGGACGACCCCCTACTCTCTTCCTACCGAAAGAACGTCTTGTGCAGTAGTTCGGCACTAGTAGCTGTGTAGTAGTTCTTGACAGGTGACAACTGGCATTAGTTTACTGATGACTGTAGTTCAGCTGACCACTTCTAAAACCAGCCAAAAATTTTGAAAATATTCTACGGACTATAAAAGGGCACACAGATCAAGTCTTTCCATCATGGCATAATAATGCATTGACAAACGTGAGTGATTAAACAATCTCAATTATTATATAAGTATTTCGGTGTTTAACGACGTAATCAATCAAAAGTCAATCACAAGATAGGTATCTAAAGATAAGGATCTGTTAATTATTGAAAATAAAACAAGTTATCGGTGAGTACCAAACGTTTATTTATAATCAAATAATTACATTTTTTTACTCATGAGTTATTAGGATAACACTCATCAGCCGTTGGGTTACAAGCACAAATAACTGCTTCAATTTTTTCCCTCACTTACTATGTTCATTCATACTTGTGATGAGTAATGAATCGTGATAAATCAACTATGATTAACCTTTGTGTATACAACAGGTAGAGTGACCGTTCTATTCAAAAATCTGTGGTGGAGTTTTTTGTTAGGAGAGGAGGAGTCTATTGCTATACACTTTTATTTTTACCGTTTACATTTGTTATTACAGCAGTACTGCCTGGTTTCCCGTGATTATCATTATTTTTTTAATTTCATTCAATTTACGGAAATAAGTCTCATATGAATATACAATTAATTTATAAGATTATAAGTAAAACTACTTTCTAAATTATTACTACCTACGTCAGATGTCACTCAGCACTTGTTATCAAACTAAATATTGTCCCCACATCTATTAAATATAGGCATGCACACTAGCCCCACTTTATTATGACACCTAAAAAGTCGTTACTTTATATTATAAATATATATTCTATATTATTTTGCTCAGGATCTAAAAGTTGATATTAAATATCAATCAAAATTCTATATATATAATGGAATATTAATATAACTGTTTTCAGTTCAGTGATATACATAGACTAATGTATGGACCTAATTTATGGCGTTAACTTTAAAAAAATTTTACCTACAGATAAATATTTCGATGATTGATCACGAAGGATTCTTAGCTGTGCAAATATATTTTANAAAAAAAAAAAAAAAAATTATAAAATTACAACTTTATAATATTCATAAAAACAAATATTTTATAACAAAAACAAATAACAATGTTTATTAACCTTTTATTAGAACTACATGACATTAGAACTTGTTTGAATTAAGATTCTGACATCTACAACACAAAAGCATTTCAAATGTTTTATCATTTAAACGATTTCTTCTTGGTGTCATGATCTGCGAACCACTACTAAACAAACGCTCTACTGGTGCAGAAGAGGGAAGTGTTGTATTGTATTTGAAAAAAATTTTTTTTATGATTGGAAATGAATTAAGAACATTAAAATCTTTATTTTTTGAATTTAAATATTCCATAACTTGAGCATTAATACAACTATGATTGCTTTGAATATCAATTTCTACATCTAAACAATTCTCTGATAGGACTTGAAAAAACTCTTGGTCACTACTATCACTATCTACATTTTCCTCAGTATTTAAAACAGCATCTTTATCAGTATTAATTAAATAGCACTCATCAAAAAATATTTGTTTACAATATGATTTGTATCTATCGGGTACCCAGGATAGTTTGAACTTTGGATGGCTTATTGAAGATAAAATGAAGGATTTACTTTTGACTTTTTTTAAATCTAATACGTAATCGAATCTTTTTTCCAAACTGCTTACAATATTAAAACATAAAGGTCTACAGTGGACCAAGTTATTCATCTGTATTAATAAAAGTCTTAAAGCCAGTATAGTGGGGGCAACAAAACCTAAATGACAAGACTTTTCACCCTGCAATTTATCCAATGAAATTGCAAGTGGACCCATCACCTTACAATATTCTTCTAAGAAACTCCATTCATTTTTTTTCATTTTTTTCATTTTTAACTCATTAAACACCAAGACTAAATTCTGTTTATTTGTAACTACTTTATTTACAGCATCATACATAGAATTCCATCTTGTCAAATTAGGAACTGGAAATTTACAACTACATAAATCAAAAACTTTATCTGAGACTACAGTACTACGACTAAGTAGATTCCAAAATGATGATAACTTTTTAAATGTAATTTTTGAAATTGAATTATAGGCTTGGTCAACTATTTTGGCAGTATCAACTGAAGCTATTAGATTTAACGTGTGTGCTGAACATGTTAAATGACTTGGTAGAGAAATTGTATTAGTAATTGTTTCTTTATGATTTAACAACAATGAAGACAAATCTACAACGTCCAATTCAAGATTAGAATCATTTACATCATCATCACTACTTATGTTAACATCGCTATCTGAGTCATCACTACTCATTAAGCCTAAATAATTTGAATCAGAAATATGTATATCATCAGGCACATTAAACTGTTTCGAAAATGTACGAAATGCTTTGCCAAAATTTGAGGCATTGTCAGTAACTACATGGGTAACTTTTTCATTTTCAATTTTAAAGTCAAGCATTATTTCATTGATTACTTTGGCAATATTTAAATAAGTATGATTTCCTTTTATACGCCTGCAAGCTAATATATAAGAATACCTACTGTAGTTAAGTTCATCGATAAAATGACAAGTCATTCCTAAATAGCTCTTATTGTTGGAACTCCAAATGTCAGCAGTAACACACACATAACTTTGTTTTTCAATAAATCCAGTTAACATTTCTACATAAGCTTTATATTTATGGTTTAGTTCACTAACAAGTGCTTTTCTGTATGGAAGTACAATAGAATCTGATGTAAGGCCTCGAATCAACCGTTTGAATGATGGTTTTTCACATGTTGCTAGTGGTTTGTATCACCTGTAATAAAATAATTATAATATAATTATAATTTGGAAAGACATAAAATGTGCATAAAATAGTTAGGTAGATGTATTTATGTAATTGCTATTTGCTTGTCTTTTTTTTTTATATTTATATATTGAAAGTTATATAATATACTAGAAAGTATTTTTAATTTATATATTGAATTATATTTTTTCAAGTTAACTTCTGACTTAATAATTTCAATTTTATTCCAAGATATTATAAAGTTTTTAATTATTCAAATGGTTTTATTTTAGAACACCCTTACGTTTTGGAATTGTCACAAAATCATCCCACAGTAATAAAAATAAAAATTAGTTAAGCCGTTGATATACGCACAACTTAAATTATTAGTATAGATATTAAAGTATAGATAGTTACTAACCAGTTCTTTTGAAACTTTTGGAGTATCATAGATTTTTGTTTGAACCATTGTTGATGTTTCTTGATCTTTTTTTTTTCTTGCGTCTTCTACTTTAGACATTAACGAGTTATGTTTCCGCTATAAATATTAGATAAATTCAACTATAAGTTTAAAATATAGTTCAATAATAATAATAATATTAGTACCTGTATACAATATAGCCTTGTTTAAGTTATTTAGATCAGTTAGGTGTAGCTTTTTGGTTATTATTTTTATACTTATTTTAAAAATATATTTAATATAACTATTATGAAAAGTAAAATTCAATTGTCAATCGTGATACATTTTATGTAATACAATTATTTAAATACAAATGAGATCAAATTATTTTTATACAAAGTTGTTTTAATATCATATATTTAATTATCATATTATAATAATTAATAGGTACTTTGATTAATCATGACTATTTTTTTTTATGTATATTAATATTTCATTGTAAAAAGTAAAAACTATGATATCAGTAAAACAAAATTGATTTGTTAGGTCAAAAAATATAGGATTCCTGACCATATAGGTATANATTGGCTAAAGCAGGCTCCTAAGAGGAAATCCTAATAAAATGATTATTGATTTATATTAATATATCAAAACATGATTTTTGTGATTATATAAATACTAATAAATTATATATAACTAAAATTAATAAATTACTTTAATACTTTTATATAAATAATAAGTTCATATTCTACATTTTCTACAGTCACCTTTCTGGATCCTTATAAACGTTAGTTAAATTTTGAATCCTTGTAAATTGTAATATTAAAAATGTACATAATATAAAGGTATTACCTACACCAAATATATACTACCTAAATATAAACATTATTTTTACATGTTTGTCCACAAAGTTAATACTAAAATACACGTATATTATGTACGTATCATATCCCAAATTCATACTTCTATAATTATTTACGTATTTTAAACGTAATTTATATGTTGCTAATTACACCAAATACACTTGTATATACACTTATTATAAACATGATTTTTGCCACTAATATGTACGTATTTAAAACGTTGAATATACGTTACAATTTACATTTATTACACACATAATATACGTTGAAAATCTATCTTTTGACCCAAAAATATCCATGATTTCTACTTATCATCAACTAAATATATTCGTTTATTATACGTAACTTAGATTATGTATATTCGTATGTTATAGGTTAAATATATGTATATTTGTTTACTGAGCAAGTTTTAATGTCAATTTTGTTCTGCTTGCCGAAGGCTACAACATGTTATAATTAGTTATACAAATTATATGTGATTACTAAAACAATCAACACCTAATCAAATCTATAAAAATGTATTTAACTTTTTAAAGATCATAATATTGTTGAAATAATCTATACGATTTAAAAAAGGCGGTATTTTATGTGACAAAATATTTCTTAAATCACAGATGTCGCACCTTACCGAATATGTACAAGTTTGTGGACGACCCCCTACTCTCTTCCTACCGAAAGAACGTCTTGTGCAGTAGTTCGGCACTAGTAGCTGTGTAGTAGTTCTTGACAGGTGACAACTGGCATTAGTTTACTGATGACTGTAGTTCAGCTGACCACTTCTAAAACCAGCCAAAAATTTTGAAAATATTCTACGGACTATAAAAGGGCACACAGATCAAGTCTTTCCATCATGGCATAATAATGCATTGACAAACGTGAGTGATTAAACAATCTCAATTATTATATAAGTATTTCGGTGTTTAACGACGTAATCAATCAAAAGTCAATCACAAGATAGGTATCAAAAGATAAGGATCTGTTAATTATTGAAAATAAAACAAGTTATCGGTGAGTACCAAACGTTTATTTATAATCAAATAATTACATTTTTTTACTCATGAGTTATTAGGATAACACTCATCAGCCGTTGGGTTACAAGCACAAATAACTGCTTCAATTTTTTCCCTCACTTACTATGTTCATTCATACTTGTGATGAGTAATGAATCGTGATAAATCAACTATGATTAACCTTTGTGTATACAACAGGTAGAGTGACCGTTCTATTCAAAAATCTGTGGTGGAGTTTTTTGTTAGGAGAGGAGGAGTCTATTGCTATACACTTTTATTTTTACCGTTTACATTTGTTATTACAGCAGTACTGCCTGGTTTCCCGTGATTATCATTATTTTTTTAATTTCATTCAATTTACGGAAATAAGTCTCATATGAATATACAATTAATTTATAAGATTATAAGTAAAACTACTTTCTAAATTATTACTACCTACGTCAGATGTCACTCAGCACTTGTTATCAAACTAAATATTGTCCCCACATCTATTAAATATAGGCATGCACACTAGCCCCACTTTATTATGACACCTAAAAAGTCGTTACTTTATATTATAAATATATATTCTATATTATTTTGCTCAGGATCTAAAAGTTGATATTAAATATCAATCAAAATTCTATATATATAATGGAATATTAATATAACTGTTTTCAGTTCAGTGATATACATAGACTAATGTATGGACCTAATTTATGGCGTTAACTTTAAAAAAATTTTACCTACAGATAAATATTTCGATGATTTATCACGAAGGATTCTTAGCTGTGCAAATATATTTTAATGTAATTAATATTTCAACATTAAACCATTAATTGTAATAAATATTACATTAAAAAATAAAATAAATATAAATTAAGTTACAATTATAGTTTATAGTTAATAATTATACATTTTGTAAAATTATTACAGTTTAAAATCAGCAAAATGAGTATACCTATAGCTATACGACTATTGATTTGTATGGTTGTATTCTCTCCATCATGTTGTAGAGGATTACAAGACCCTTGTATGTCGCAAGATCGTCATATTCATGATTTGTGTGAACAAGGTATAAATAATACCTATTACGCTTTAGCTTAGATATTTAAAAATAAATCGGTTGCAACGATTAAATGTTGTGAACTTTGTATACTGTATAGATTTGGGTATAAACTCGACAAACTGGTACCAAAACCTCAAAATTCATGAAGTAAACGAAGAAATTCAAAAAATTGTCAAAAAAATTGAAAAACGGATACTTCCAGAGAATATGTTATC